TAAAACATTTGCTTACAATGACTTTTACCACTGGTAAATGTAAAGGTATACCCTAGGGATGATTGTTAATAGTTTATTAATTTTCTTCACTTCTTTTTTGTTCTATTAACCAATTCTGGCAGATAACTCCTATATGCTTCCCAAATTCATATCTCTTGATAGTATTTCAGGGTACTGTGGAATTTTGTTGTTCAAAATAAAACAATTGAAACACAAAAGACATTATAAGCTAATATGAACTGACTCTTCTGTGAGAAAATATTTTGGGGAAGAGTCTCAGTTTAGTCTTACTTAGTAGCTCATGCTGGAACTGGACGAGCATTTTAGAGATCTGAATTTCACCTCTGGTCCTCAGTTGTATTAATTGCATTTATAGAAACAGACATGGAGACATAGATGTTTCAGTTACAATATTCACATGTGTGTCTATGTATATAAAGTCATAGGATGATTCATTTATTTATGTAACAGATATTAATATCATGCCAAACATTAACACAAGAGAAAAATACAAGATTTAAAAATTTTGACTATCCCAAACATAAGCAGTTCAGAGTTATATTACATTTTACAATTAAAAAGGAAACCTATATTCAGAAATAATTTTTTATAATTAATTTTCACTCTTCATAAAGAAGAAATTTCAGAGTTTGATATAATTGTCTTAACATTTAATGACTAACTCCAGGTAAATTATACACACACACACACACACACACACAATGGAGAATAATGCTCAGGTACAAATGCCCCCTAGAATGAATTTCATTTTTCCCTTTTAAAAAAAATGATCTCAGAGTTTCTCCTTTTTGGTAAAACATGAATCTCCTATGACTGTTGAGTTTTGAGCTCTTGTGAGGAAATCCTGGGGTCTGCAGTTTTGCTTAGCACATTCAAAGTCTGAAAACTCTGGATACCTAGTCAAGAGTAGGACTTGATAACTAATATCCCACTGATTTTATATTTAAAGATGTTGGAATTTAGACATGTATTTGATTCCTTTAAATTTGGTTAAAGATTAACATCATTAGCAAATCATTACCTTTTACATTTTTTTATGGGTATGGCTGAAAGGCTATTGTGTGAAGAATTCTGCGTTTGTTGCTGCATTCAAACATTTTTTGCTACCTGAAGGAACTTTACAGCCTAATAGAAAAGATGAGATAATAAAAAATAAGGGCACAGGCCAGGGATTATAATAATCAATTTAATAAGAATATATTTATACCAATAGTATAACTATAACAAATAATATACATTTATATATGAATAATATATATTTATCCATAATATATAGTCAATTTCAACTCTAAGTACAACAGGTACTTGAAAAGTTGCAAAAGTGTTTTTGTGACCAGCTGAATCAGTCTATAGCCATTTTATGATGTCATTTGCTACTATTTATGAAAGATTGGGTAACATACACTTTGGAGCTTCTTTGTGGTATCAGATGTTTGTGGTACACTGGGGGCTACTACTTAATTTTTAAAATCTCTACATCTGAAATTATATAAATACCTTATTTACCCATCTGGAAAAAACAATGGGCAAAATAACATTCTAATAAATGAATAGACCATTCAGAGTTTTATGTATTAATAAAAGAGAATTGAATGTATAAACATGTTATTTTCAGGATAACCTAAACCAAATCTTTTGCGCATTGAAATAGTTTCATTTTAACTATCTTAATGAAAACTTTTATTGACTATCTTCTGTTTTGCTTTATTAAGCAGTGCATAATAACTGATCAACAATTTTATAGTACTTTGCAGTTCACAGAGTTCTTTTCATATAAAAGATCTCATTTAGTTAATCCAACAAAGCTATGAGTTAGGTGGTAGTATTATATACATGTTTCAAGGATGATGAATTTGATTGACCTACCTGATTTTGCTAGTGATCACAAAACCAGTAGTAATGAGTTAGGACTGAAATCCAGGACTTTGGATACTAAAACATAGTGTAACTTAAAACTTTCTTAGTTTTCAGGGTCATCATTATAAGCATTAATTATTATTCTGTTTCATTGTACAGTTACCTGATGCTGAAAAAGCTTCTCTGCATGGGTGCCAAACTGAATCTCAGAGACAGAGTTTTGGGTGACGTAAAAGAGATTAGCTTTATTGCTTTGCCAGGCAAAACTGTGTGTCCCTATGTGGGGGGATTGGGTGAGGAGTTTTATAGAAATGGTTCAAGAGCTGGGTTGCTGATAAAGATAAGGGTGTGTGCAAGGCCTGCATTTCTTTAATCTGGCCTCAGGGGTCTCCTGATGAGCTTCTGTGGATCTTGAGGTTATCAAACCTTGTCTCTGGAATGAAGAATGCTTCATCAAGTAGTTAACATCTTCCAGCTGTTGGAGGTTTTAGTTCTGCAGAAGAGCTCAAAGCTATTGTTATGTGCATCCCCTGCGGTGGAACAAAGAGCCTGCTTCAAGGCTGCTCTGCTTTCGGGACTGCTCCTCCCTTGTCTTTGCATCCCCTCTCTTTCCTGATTAGCAACTGTTCAAACCTGACCTTTGGAACACAGGGAAAGTCATGGAGGCTGAATGAAGCCTATTTCCTACCAACGAGAAATGAGGGACAGAGAAAGGTTTTTGTGCCCAGGATCCGCACAGGGTCCTGCTCAATTTCATTGTGCACATGGAATATGAAGTTCAGTACTGATCACTGCGTCTTCAGTTGAGACCCAGATGAAATAGTTAATTTTATTTCAGAGGCAGGTTGTTAGATAAATACTTTAAATATTTAAAATCTAACTCAGTGCAGTGAGATGCTTACACCATGAGAAGAAAGTGAAACCTAAGCCAACTGTAGAAACAGCAAATTCCCATCTCTCCTCGCCTACTCACTATGGGGCCATATGCTTACTGAGTGTAAGAGTGGGCAGATCAGCAGTATGTAAGTCAGTCTCTAACCCCTCTCTCTTCCTCTCTCCCTCTTTGTCTCTCAGAATATACAGGTGACTTCCTATAGGTTATATAATGTATGAGACCATTTGCTGCACCCTTTTCCCTTCAATAAGTGACCCAAGATCATCATGTTTTCAGACAGCTACTTTTACATTTCTTGTCTCTTCCCTACTATCTGTTGCTATTTGTTGTTGTTATCAACTCGGTTACTTCTAGTTCCTCTTATTATTCTTTCCCTGTGAACTCACTGCAATTTAGCAGGGGAATCAAAAGACCAAATACATATATATATTAATTCACCAGCCTTAGATAATATTTGATTCTCAATGTTTAGCTCGGATGTCAGAACAGAAAAATACCTTCCACATGTCATGACTTTCAATGGTAGTTTTCCCTCACTGATCAGAGGCATTTTCTTTTGTTCACTTTTGGATTCAAGGCTTAAGTTTTAATAAATAAAAAGAAATAATATTCATTGATGTGATAGTAAATGTTTAACAGCATGTACTCTGAGAGAGGAAATTAAAAGCCCTGACTTGACATGATGTCGGACATAATAGAATAAATAACCTTAAGAGCACAGATGATAGTTAAAATAGGAAGTGATAACATTTTACGATTTATTTTAGTATTTATTCCCTTAGCAGCTTTGCTTAAGTGGGATTTTTCAAGAAAATTAAGTCCTATAGAAAATGATTTAAGACCTATTTTCTTATTTTTATCAAGGATGATACATATCTACTCCATTGTAGATGGCTAGGTAATTCATTGCTTATAATGGATGCCTTAGGCTCTGATCCTGGACAATCAACATCAGCATCAACTGGATAATTGTTAGAAGTGTCAATTCTTGGGCCCCACCCAAGATCTGTTTACTCTAGAACTCTGAGGTTGAAAGCCAGCAATCAGTGGTTTAACAGGACTTCCAGGTGATTCTGATGGCCCCAACATATAAGAACCACTGCTCCAAAGTATTATGATAAATTATCCCCCCAATCCATTGAGAAAGTTTGACCTGGGACCTTTGAGTGTTCTGCTTCCAGCTAGTGGAAAGGGAAAGAATGGATGGGGAAACCTCACTCAATTTTTATAAGGATCAGCCCAGAACTGACAGATATTACCTCTCCTCACATTCTACTGGCAGTAAGTTATCTTATGATTATCCAGTGTTACACTGGAAGTGGCTTAGATCTGCTCCTGAGGACCTATTAGCAAATTTTCAGGCACTTTGTGAGCTACTTGACGTTCTTTTGGTAACTAAAATTGGCTATAGTTGGACCATCTACACCACAGAAATTAGCAAACACTAAAATCAATTTGTTTCTTTGTTTTCCCCAGAGCCACTTGTTAACATATACACATCACTGACCATATACAGGCTTGGCTGACCCTACTGCAGCTAAAATGACCCTCAAAATGGTCCTGCTTTGAACCAAATTTGCTGAGCCTTTAACTCTCACCTTGATCAGTCTTTGAATAAGGGCTACCCTGGGAAGGGCAAGTCCTTAGGCAAGGCAGATCACCACAGCAGACAGTCCCAGAAAGAACTGACGCCTGACACCTGAAGGATGTCTACTGGCATCTTCTTCACCATTTGGGACAAGAGTCCTTCCTTAAAGTGGACTCAGAGTCTTATCTCCATGTGTACCTCAGCCCCTCCTTCCAAGTGTTGCTAATAGGATTGATCTGGGGTGAGCCAGGGCAATAAGATACTTTTAATGTCCTCTGGAAAATTCTGGTATGCAGCCACACTAGATACTATTTAAAACAGTCAAGCCAATTGCTGAGATGACATTTTTTGTTTATTTGTTTTGCTTTCAATAATGTTTGCACTCTATGTCCTTTCAATGAAATTGTGCCTGGAGCAAGAGCCTGTATGCAGCAAACAATCAATAAAAATTTGTAGTGAGGTTAGTTGAAGTATTTAATTAAAATACCTTTGAAAGGAATTCCACCTAGAAAAGTTAATTTAGAAGTAAAATACAATAGAAATACAATAATGTATTCACAAAATAAATTAATAACTTGGTGAATTAAGTTACTGCAAGATGTTAATCGAATAAATAACATGCATGCTTTTCTATTAAAGAGGAAGTTAGAAGATCTGAGCTCGGAGTGGAAGGCGGTAACCCACTTACTTCAAGAGCTGAGGGCAAAGTGGCCTGGCCCAGCCCCTGAATTGACAGCAATTGGAGCATGTAAGTATGCTGGATCATTCTCTGTGGCTTTGGACATTTGCTCAAAAGCACAACAGTGAGATGCTCCTTGGGTTAAAGGGAAAATGAGTTGCAATGCTGAAAATAGGAATAAACCTGGGTTATTTACAATGCAAAATGTCTTAGAGCTAGGTTTCTTGGAAAGAGACTGATTGGGCGTATGGAGTCACCAAAGTATTTAGGAGTGTGCTCTCCAGAAATGTACCTACAGTGAAGAAAGACCCATAGCAGAGATAGCAGAAGGGCCTGAGGGTCTGCAGAGTGATTTGACTGCAAGAGGCCTCAGCCCACTCCACAGGAGCCTTAGGGCTGAGTGGGTTGTCCAGAGCCCTCCTGAATTGCAGGAACAGAGCTTGGCCTTTGTATTCCTGAACCAGCCAGCCTTTGTCCAGGGGCTGCCCACTGGAAGGAATAGGAGATCTTAGAAGAGTCTTCAGGGGCCAAAGGCAATTCTCAGTAAGGAATACCATCAACTATCAGTGCTTCCAGTCCGAGGGATAGATGTGTTGTTCCTGAAGAGGGAGTCAGGGTAGAGCCTCCAAGACTAAATATGTAAGGACCCCATCTCAATGAATCCTATCTCCTTTAGATAATCTTATTCAAATATGCCTACACAAGGACTTCCCTGGCAGTCCAGTGGTTAAGACCCTGTGCTTTCACTGCAGAGGGCACAGGTTCAATCCCTGGTCAGGGAACTAAGATCCTGCAAGTCACGCAGTGTTACCAAAAATATAAAAATTCCCCAAACCACAGAAATACACACAGTCCTCCTAGCACTTCCCTCTGTTCCATCTGAAAACAATCTTAAGAGCTCTTCCATTTTTAGCTCAAGAAAAAGGAAAATGGACCATGACTACCACCAAGTAGACTTGGGGGGAAAAATGTTTCTTCATTTAGCTATAGTTTTAACTTTTGTTTTTACTGCATGTTTTCAGTCTATTCTTTTTCACCTTCTATTCATTTCTTAGTAGAAGGTATGCATAAAATCTCATGGCAATGTTAAGGCTGGCTTTGAGCCCCATGGGCAAGGAGCCAAAAAATTTTTCTGCTATACCAATTCTATAATTAGATAGAACTCAGAAACATCTTTTTTTTTTCCTGTTCTTGTTTTTTGCTTTCATTTTTTTTTTCCTTTTCTACTTTTCAAAGATCAGATATTTGCAGTGTTTGGTTCTTAAAGTAAAGTTGATTTTTATTTCATATCAATTAGAAATATATCACAATGGAAAGATCACCCAAGGTAGCACAATGATAATTCAGTAGAAGGCATAAACAGCACTTAAGTTAAAAGATGCTCTACAATCTGGGAACAGTGTGTCTTTTGTACCCCTGGGGTTTCTAAGAAGACATTAGAGTTAAATTTGATATCAGATACTTTAAAAAGATGTGTGAGCATTCTTTCTTCTTCCTGTTTGTTTATTTGTTTGTTTGGTCAATCTGGGACACTAAAATTGCTCTATCAGTGTTTATCTTCAATTAATTATATCAGGTTTATTTCTTTTTATGACCTGTAATTTTTGGTTCCCTCAGCAAGCATGCATAGTTTGTCCCTATATAATCATTTATTGGTATTTGTTCTCTAGCTTTCTCCTGATATTCAGTCTCAGATTCTCTAACTCTGTAAAGAGATTGGGTTCCAATAATTTGTTTTTATTGAACTCTGACATAATTATGGGTTTATGCTCCTATTTAAGCTACTTTCACATGGTTGGAAGTTTTGAAAGGCAGGGCACAGAAATCTATTTAACCTGTAAAGTTCTGAGATGTGACTATAACAGTTCTGTTGGAGAATAGATTCAAAGTTCCAGTTTTGGTTTCCAAAAACATATTTAATTCATCTACTTAATATCTATTGAATAACTTCTATGTATTGAACATTTTACTAGGTGCTGAGAATGTGGCATAGAGTAAGTTAAGTTCCCTCCCCTCATGAAACCCTTCTAGTTGACCTTTGAACAACATGAGTTTGAACTATGTGTGCAGAATTTTTTCAATAATAAATATTCCAGTACTACATGATCCATGGTGAGTTGAACCTGTGGCATGTGAAGGAGCTGCCTAAATGGCAGAAACATGAATACACAGAGCAGACTGGATTTTCAACTGTGCAGTAAGTCAGCCCTAACCCCAGTGTTAATCAAAGTTCAGCTGTACCCCAACTGGAAGAGAAACAGGATAAGCAAATAAAGAAAACAGATACTGTCTCAATATTGTTCAGAGTTACAGAGTTCAGTCCACAGATTGATATCAAATGGGCACTTGTTAAAGATGCAGAATGCCAGGCCCCACTCCAGACCCAGTGCATCAGAATCTACATTTTAATAAGATCCCTAGGTAATTCATTTGCATGCTGAATTTTGAGAAGCACAGTTATGGAGAACAGGAAAACAGGATAAGAGGGAGTGAGCAGGAATGAAGGCATGATTGCCTGAAGTTGGGTCAATGAATCTTTTCTATTAAGCAAATACTTGAGAAACCTGATGGAAGTGAGAAAGTGAGTGAGGTACACATTCAAGGGAGAGTGTTCCAGGCAAAGATAGGACAAAAAATAGAGGTAATGAAGGTACTGCAAGCACAGTGGGTCGACCTCCTGACAGACCAAGGGATGCTGATCCCTTTTGTGCGTTAGTAGCCAATTTTTATAGGCTCAAGACAAAGAAAATTCCTGCTGGAAGGGTGGCATTAGGTGATTTATTAGGGTGGGTATTTTTACCTAATATGGGGTCAGGGAGCTGGCCAGTTTAGGTGGGGCGAGGGGTCTCACAGCAGTGATTGCTATGTGGCTCAGTCAGTTCTGGAGATGACTTTGGTATGGGGCTCCATATCTGTGGCCCTGGTATAGGGCTCCACAGAAAGTAAAAGTGTCAATCATTCAAGTCGTGCCCAACTCTTTGCAACCACATAGACTGTAGCCCACCAGGCTGCTCTGTCCATGGAATTCTCCAGGCAAGAATACTAGAGTGGGTTGCCATGCCCTCCTCCAGGGGATCCTCCCAACCCAGGGATCAAACCCAGGTCTCCTGCATTGCAGGTAGATTCTTTACCATCTAAGCCACCAGGAAAGCTCACTTGCTATTAATCAGAAAGCCAGCAATCTGGGGAGACAGATAACTCACGTCCCCAAAAAGCAATTCTGACAATTCTGCTCGGTCATGACAGTTTTAAGGGAAAAGGGGAAATAATCTCAGTTAATCATTGGAATGGGGTGCCAGAGTCCTTGCCATCCTTCACTACGTGCGGGCTTGGCGATGTCTTGTGGTTTAGATATTATCTTGTTCACACAGTTTGTTCACACGGTTTTTTTCTTTTCATGAGGTTACTGAAAGCAAAGCTAGAGAAGAGACCTGGTCATCTGTTAATTACTTATTCTTCATTTCTACTTCTTTGATCTATGGAAAGAACCAAAAGTTAGACAAGGTATTGTATGATCAAAAGATGTGAAAGATGTGCTCAGGCCAGTGATGAGTAGAGCTTGGAGGTGCCTGGTTTAAAGTTAGTGACAAGACACGAGGAGACTCCTGCAGACAGCTCTTTTCTGCCAAAAGCTGCTTATAAAATCAAACATTCCTTTTTCCTTAATGTGGTAGTTTAAACATCAGAATTAAGAATTGTTTAAATTTCTGGAAGTCAGGAATATAATCTGAAATAAGTACAATATAAAAAGGGGAAATATAATTTGTAATACTGTTCTGTTATCTGATTATTATTTCATGTACTATATTGTAATACAATATGATTCATCATTCATCATTGTAAATTTTTTTTCCATTGTGCTCCTACTATTATTCTAGCTGTTTTTGTATATATGCTTTTCTCATCAAAATAATTGCCAAGTATGTATGGTTATACACAGTATTTTTAAGGTAAGGATCACAGGCTCAGAAGGGAAACAGATGAAGGCCACACAGCTGGAAAGAAATAGTGCCAGGATTATAATCCAAGTATGTCAGGCTCCAAAGCCTGTGTTTCATTTAGCTGTGCCTTGCGCTATCTCTCTGTCCAAGAACCTAATGGAAATTCTAGATAGGAAGGCAGTTAGCCCATAGTTAATGTTATTTAACTTAGTCTTAGATGTATGAGGAGTAAAGGTGAGAAATGTTTTTCTGTCTTCTCTAATTAAGGAGTAGAAGAAATCAGTTTACTGTATTCGAATTTCTTAGAATCAAAGAACTCTGAGCCTAGAATAATCATTGGAAGTACCTAGTTGAATGTATTTCTTCCATATGTGTGGAAATGGAGGCCCAGGTACCTTTTTAAAAACACTAAACCAAGCTCCTTTATGATTTAATTTATGTAACATGATGAGGTGGTCCTGCCTGAGCTATATAAATTGTTTCAGGCTGCAAGACAAAGAGGCATACTGGAAAAAAAAGTTTTTGCAGTTATTGCTTAGATACCTTAGATACCTTCTTGTTGTTTAGTCGCTATGTTGTGTCCACCTCTTTCCAACCCCATGGACTGTACCCCATCTGGCTCCTCTGTCCATGGGATTTCCCAGGCCAGAATACTGGAGTGGGTTGCCATGCCCTTCTCCAGGAGATCTTCCTAACCCAGGGGTCAAACCCACGTCTCCTACTTGGCAGGTGTATTTGTTACTTCAGTTTTCTATCTCTGCATTAAAACACTCCAAATGTAATGGCTTTAAACAAGGGTTATTTACTTGCTTGTTATTTTGTGGGTCTACAGTTGGGCTGTGGTTCACTTAATAGGTGTTCTAAAGGTCTTGCTAGGGGCCATTCTTGTACATGCAGTTATTTGGAAACTCAGCAGAAACTAGATGGATCCCCTCAGATATCTGACAGCAGGCTGTTGGCTGGAGAACCTTGGTTCTTCACAACACCTATCATCCTCCCATAGGCTGGACTGTATTCATCATATGGCATTCTCAGGGCAGTGTTTCGAGAGGATGAGTGAAAGCTACAAGATGCCTTGACACCCAGATTCTGTCATTCAAACAACATGACTTCTGCTACATTCTATTG